CAAAGATGTAGAGCGTCATTTTTTGTATACAGTCTGTGATATACTATATATGACCTTTTTTTATCATACTATACTATGACATTTTTTACATACTATACTATGACATTTTTTTAATCTTTCTTTGTTTTGTTTTTCAGATCAAAAATTCAATTTTTATCATGCTATATGATGACTTTTTTTTCATACAAAAATAAGAAATTTTTATCATACTATACTGACATTTTTAACATACTATACTATATTTTTCTCAAACTAAAGATTTGAAATTTTTATCATACTATACTATGACATTTAACATACTATACTATGACATTTTTAACATACTATACTATGACATTTCTCCAAACTAAAAATTTTTATCATGCTATACGATGACATTTTTTGAAATGCTATACTATGACATTTTTTTATCTTTCTTTGTTTTTGTTTTTTTTCAGATCAAAATTTCAATTTTTATCATGCTATACGATGACCTTTTTTTCATACAAAAATAAGAAATTTTTATCATACTATACTGTGACATTTTTAACATACTATACTATATTTTTCTAAAAAAAAAAATTTGAAATTTTTATCATACTATACTATGACATTTTTAACATACTATACTATGACATTTTTAACATACTATACTGACATTTTTTAACATACCATACTACGACTTTTTTATACCATAATTTGAATTTTTCATCATACTATACTATGACATTTTTTGAAATGCTATACTATGACATTTTATTTATCTTTCTTTGTTTTTTGTTTTTTTCAGATCAAAATTTTAATTTTTATCATGCTATACGATGACTTTTTTAACATACTATACTATGACATTTTTTAACATACCATACTACGACTTTTTTATACCAAAATTTGAATTTTTTATCATACTATACTGACATTTTTTGAACTGCAATACTATGGCCTTTTTCTTATCTTTCTTTGTTTTTTTTGTTTTTCCAGATCAAAATTTCAATTTTTATCCAGCTATACGATGACTTTTTTTTTCATACAAAAATAAGAAATTTTTATCATACTATACTGTGACATTTTTAACATACTATACTATGACATTTTTCTCAAACTAAAAATTTGAAATTTTTATCATACTATACTATGACATTTTTAACATACTATACTATGACATTTTTTAACATACCATACTACGACTTTTTTATACCAAAATTTGAATTTTTTATCATACTATACTATGACATTTTTTGAAATGCTTTACTATGACATTTTTTTATCTTTCTTTGTTTTGTTTTGTTTTTTTTCAGATCAAAATTTCAATTTTTATCATGCTATAGAATGACTTTTTTTTTCATACAAAAATAAGAACTTTTTATCATACTATACTGTGACATTTTGAACATACTATACTATGATATTTTTCTCAAACAAAAAATTTGAAATTTTTATCATACTATACTATGACATTTTTAACATACTATACTATGACATTTTTAACATACTATACTATGACATTTTTTTATCTTTCTTTGTTTTTTTTTTTTCAGATCAAAATTTCAATTTTTATCATGCTATACGATGACTTTTTTTTCATACAAAAATAAGAAATTTTTATCATACTATACTGTGACATTTTTAACATACTATACTTTGATATTTTTCTCAAACTAAAAATTTGAAATTTTTTTCATACTATATGATGACATTTTTAACATACTATACTATGACATTTTTTTTATCTTTCTTTTTTTTTCAGATCAAAATTTAAATTTTTATCATGCTATACGATGACTTTTTTTTCATACAAAAATAAGACATTTTTATCATAGTATACTGTGACATTTTTAACATACTATACTATGACATTTTTCTCAAACTAAAAATTTGAAATTTTTTTATCATACTATACTGTGACATTTAACATACTATACTATGACATTTTTAACATACTATACTATGACATTTTTCTCAAACTAAAAATTTGAAATTTTTATCATACTATACTATGACATTTTTAACATACTATACTATGACATTTTTTAACATACCATACTACGACTTTTTTATACCAAAATTTGAATTTTTTATCATACTATACTATGACATTTTTTGAAATGCTATACTATGACATTTTTTTTATCTTTCTTTTTTTTTTTTTCAGATCAAAATTTCAATTTTTATCATGCTATAGAATGACTTTTTTTCATACAAAAATAAGAAATATTTATCATACTATACTGTGACATTTTTAACATACTATACTATGATATTTTTCTCAAACTAAAAATTTGAAATTTTTATCATACTATACTATGACATTTTTAACATACTATACTATGACATTTTTTTATCTTTCTTTGTTTAGTTTTGTTTTTTTTCAGATCAAAATTTCAATTTTTATCATGCTATACGATGACTTTTTTTTTCATACAAAAATAAGAAATTTTTATCATACTATACTGTGACATTTTTAACATACTATACTATATTTTTCTCAAACTAAAAATTTGAAATTTTTATCATACTATACTATGACATTTTTAATTTAAAAATTTGAAATTTTTATCATACTATACTATGACATTTTTTAAATTAAAAATTTGACATTTTTATCATACTTTGACATTTTTCTAACATACTATGCTACAACATTTTTTTCGTACTCGAATATGAAATTTTTATCATACTAAACTATGATTTTTTTTAACATACTATACCAAGACTTTTTTTTATACAAAAATTTATAATAATATGTCAGAGAGACGCTCCTGAAGAGCTTGGCCTTAAATATTAGAAAATAATTTAGAAACACAGACTGGATATCATATTCCCCATTTATAAGAGGAGCAAAGTTAAAGAGCCACTCTGTCTTCCCCTGTTTATTTACTCCAGATTGTTCAATCCTGCCACCGAACAAGGCACAAAAGTTAGCTGCTAACAGTGAATAGAGAGGCCTGCAGGTAAATGTTAGTCATGAGCCTGTGTTCTTCATCAAATAATTCAGCTTTCCTCTCAAAAATGACCTCTAAAAGAGAGAAAAGAGGAAAGAGAGGGAAGCAGGTTGTCAGAGAGTTCCAGCCCAAGGTGTGTGAAGTCCTTTAGCGCTGTAAAATCACTTGTTAGTTTCCTCCATATTGGTGTGGCTTAATTAGTGCATCTTGTGCTTCTATCAGGGGTTAATATCCTCACAGAAAGAACTGTTTACACTGCACTCCCCCTCTAGCCAACATTGAGTCAATAGAGTGGATATTTCAGCACGCTAGTCATACAAAACAAAATTTCCCTTTCCCACCACCACCCAAAGGCCCAGTGACCTGTCTCCTATTAAAAAAACAGGACTTCTTCAAACTTGGAGATAAAGGTGAGCTGCAGTTTGTCAACAGGGAGGCCTGCATGAGCTTTTTCTCTTACACTGAATATTATTCACTGGATTGTTTATTTAAATGATGATGTTTTTGAAAGCATAACTGATAAGTCAATACAGTGAGTACTATTTGAAACCTCTCCGCCTCCATTTCTGACCACAGTTTAGTTTGCAAACTCCATTTGAATTTTTAGAGCTACTGATTGTTACTGTTAAAAGTCCCTGTGATTTATGATTTATTTACCCATTTTGTCAGTTTATGTAATTTTGTAGTTTGATTTCTATACAAATACATTTTCTAAGTTATGCATTTATGGTTCATTTCAGAGGATTTATCTTGCTGAATGCAGAAAGTCACATGCATGTTTCAATGGTTAAATATCTTTATTGTACACTGTTAGTGTTGTGCATAAGGGGGTTCAGGCCTACAAAGAGAGACCTAAGTAATGAATCAATGGTTATCCTAACCACTGGGAAATTTTTGGTGAACTCTTGCTGTGACTCCATTCAACTCTGAACCATTGTGGTGGAGATTACAAAGAGGCAGATCTGGCATCAGGACAAGTCCAAACCAAAACCTCCCACGCGTCTTGGTGCGATGAGGTAACCACAGATTTTCTTTTATAAATTTGAATTTTGGAGGAGCATACTCACATCGATTCTCTATACAGTAACACATAAAATGAATTTAATATGGACAGTTTGATCAGCTTTTTTGCCCACGGAGCCCAAGAAACCTTTTATTTAAATCCAAAGCTGAAATTACAAGGTTGTTTAGACTCACTTTTCAAAAGTTTACTTTTTTGAGCACCAATGATGTAGTCCACAACAGATTCTTAGAGCTGTTTCCTAAACAGAGTAAATAGGGCATTTGTCAAGGGACTATTTTCAGCTGCGGATAAATACACATTTGGGTTTTAGCAAGTATTTTTGGCAACAGATCGTTGTTTGTGGGATTGACTAAAAATAAATGACAGTTCCAGTACAGGTTTCATTGTAATGCAGGAATGTTTCACCCGGGACGACTGTAAGGTTCACACGGGTGTATTTAATGTCTTTAGACAATGGTAGAGTTCCAACTGTAAAAGATATTGTATCAGACTTTGGCTGAACAGGCAATTTTTTCAGAGGGATGAAATCATTGTGGATTTTTAGGATTTTAAGGAATTATCTCTCAAGAGAAAGAAAATACCTCTTTAAATGTATTTCCTGTCTGTTGGTTTGTGGAAAAAGCTGTCAGTCTTGCTGCTGAATAGATCAAACTCAGGTCACGAGCCCTGGTGTATAGGCTTTTGTTGTCACTGCTGTTCGGTCCATGAGGCACCATGCTGCTGTATAATACATGATTTCAGTGTCATTAAGAAACATTTATTCATTAGCATGACAGAGAGCTTGTGTTTCATCTGCCATATGGCTAAGTTTATAAGACATGTAAGTCAACTGAACAGGGATCCTAAATTACTTTATTATCAACGGCATCCTGAGTAGAATTGTATTATTTTATCAACTTATTTTCAATACAGTCTGAGGACAGAATGATGTACACCAAAAGATGGATAGTGTGAGAAAATAATGAATAGCCATACCTTTGAAATAATGTTTATTCAGCAGTCAATATAGGATGTTAGATAAAACATTTTTGGCACAGTTGCTTAATGATAATAAGCTGTCCCGTCTCTGTGTGGTAATCTAAATAAATATGCAAAACCATAATTTACTTCCCAAATAAATACAATATAAACTACAATAAAGATGCACCGCATCAGTGCCCCACACTGCACCTCCTCAGGAAAACAAGAAAAAAACAAAAACATAATTTATTGTACTTCAGGCAAACAGTTGCAGAAACCAAATAGATTGTCAAAGGTGAAAAAGATGCTTCATTATGAATTCCAATAGCTTATTTTTCACTAAAAACTCTACCAGGCAAATCAACAAGGAGGCATTTGACTGGCCAATAAAAGGCTGTACTTGGGCATTGAATCATAGCAAGTTACAGGGTTTCGTGTACGGGCACAAACACAGTTCCACATCCTGACTCTACTTCATCGTTTGTTTTCTTTGAACAGAAAGAAACATGCCACTACAATTCACTTTTATCATTATTCTCCTTCACACTGGAGCCTTAGATTATCTAAAACCTCCCGAGTGTAAACACTCACAAATTACATCCAGAGTCGACATTAAAGAGGGTTGTGTCACCTCCAACATGAGACTGAAGATGTTTATGAGTCTCAGTTTGTGAATTCATTATGGGTGTTTGAATTGACTTAGTGTGTTTTGGCAATTCTTCCCTGAAAAATAATTCCAGAAAATTATGGGTGATTGCAGATCTGGGTTTTTTTGGAAAAAAAAAAAGTATAAAAAATAATCAAGAGGACAATTTGCGTATGATGAGTTATTCTATGGAGAACATATGGGATAAACTTCTGTGCTCTTCAGTCACATGTAACTGTGTTTTAAACAGGTCCCCATTGTTCATCTACACAAAATTGATATACAAAATATGATGATTAAAGATGGGTATCAAACCTGGATCTATAGAAAATAATTTTCTTTCATCGTCAAATGCTTTATCAATAACACGAGTTCCTTTACCTGTGTAATAACACTGCAGTCAGTAACACTAATGCGTACAAGCATGGAATCAGAGCACACAGCTGCGGCCTGTGATAACAACAACTCAATAGACCTTTGAGTCAAAATGCTTCCTGGAGAGAGCTAATAATTGGACATCATTTCAGGTCAATGGTCTAAGCGGTCCTATGCAGAACTTAAAGTAAGCATTTATATATCTTTATTTTGTTTTATATACCTTTAGAATTTAATTTTGACCAAATATTATCTGCCTGAAACATGAATTACTGTCACCATTATAATCATATACTCCACAAAATTAGAACCTGGTTTACATCCATGAGTATAATGTGTAGTAACAGCAATAATCTAGGCCACCTTATCTATACCCTCGTTGCTCGTCTAGCGCATAGTACTACTTCTCAAATATCACAAAAATAATGTTGCTACATTGTTGTTACACCACAGTTTACAGTGTTACTACACAGTGAGAAAAGATAATAAAAACTTTTTGGTATGAGTAGTGATTTTTCTGTCTCTTTTGATGGAATCCTCCGAAGGCAGCGCTCGCTGTCCATTGACACGGCTCCATTATGTATCCACAAACTCCAAAAAGTTAAGTCCTCCTGTCACGAAAAGGTCACCATGGAGCATCCTCAATCATTATCCCATCATTTTCTCTTCTCCATGAGTTTATATTCCACAGTTACCCGTGTTTGTCTGTTCCAACAGAGGCTGAGAGGAGCAGCAAGACAAAGTGGTAAGTTCAACTCTTTGGGTCATACACACCCACAGTGCTTTGCTGACACATTCTGTATCGTGTGATAGCGGCTCTTATTGTCCAGGAAGGAAAAGTCCTTCTCAAAAGCTATCGGCCGGCAGCAGGGTCCATTGCTCACCTTGTCCTTGCGGCCCTTCCTTCTGAAACCGATCTTTGTCATGTGCTCCATGGTTATGTCATAGTTTTGCCGGTGCGCTACACATTTGCCGCTGCAGTAGCGCAACAACACCGTTTCGTCACTGTCATAGCCGAGGCCCAGTTCGCTCACAGTCACCTCAAGCTCCCTTACGGAGCAGGGCTTAGGCCTGCGGGCTCTTTTAGTCCTTCGGGCCAGGTTGTCACCCAAGCGTCGGCTCTTTCTCCTCTTCCTGTCGAGCAAGGTCCCGACCACATGCTGAAGCTCGCCCTCTGTAAAGCTCTGGAACATCTTTGAAACTGGCGGGAAGAAGATAAATCAACATAAATGTACAGATAGAGGGCAGATTATCTGATTCCTCAGAATCAGGTGCAGTTCTGGATAATCAGATACTTCAGTAAGTTAGATGGTTATCAGATTTAGAGTGGTGTTGTTGGCAGGATAATGAACACTGTGTGCAAACAAAAATACCGGTTTCTACGAATTAATCATTTCACCATCAGTATTACAGACAGTGCTAGAACTCCCTCTAAATCCATTTAAGCTGACAAATGCACTTCAATAAAGCCATGGGAAACCAAAGCAGAGTGGGAATATCATCCTGGCTTGAAGGTTGAAATGGTTCAGTGGCGAGCCAGTGAACAATGAGGTGCTAATTGACTGCAGGTTATCGCCAGACATCACAACCTGCTCTGTAAACAACAGAGTCGGGTACTAAGTGTTCAGTCTGACCCCCTGAATCCCCCTTCTCATGACACCTTATCGAATACCACTCTCAAAAAGGAAAGACAATAACAGTTTATCTTACACTCTGAGAGAAGAGAGTTCATCTCGTCTGCCGAGCGGGCTCTCCGATGAAGACCACCCATCTGCCGAGTCACCACTGTCGATTCTGCAGATGATGAGGACCGGGATGTTTCTGATGTAGATGAGTGTCTCGATGAGGATGAAGAAGCATACGGAGAACTTCTTCTGTGTTTGAAGTGTTCGACAGTGGCCATGTTTCTAATGAGGAGGATGGACAGGGCTGCGCCACAGAGCACGAAGGCAAAAGTAGCACCTTTCCATAACTTCATCTTAGAACGTGGAGGAGCATTGAAACTCTGCGGGGAAAAAAAAAGGCAAAGGAGGCACACATGTCAGACATGTATCAACAGTCACACCTTCAGTCATGTTAAACACCTTCTCCATAACTTATACAGAACAATGTAAAAATTGTTATCTCTGCGTCGCCACATTTCTTTGACCCCGCTGTAAATTCTCTCCTCTCATCAGGGCTTTTGTTCCACTGTCAGTTTACTTTTTCTGATTCTGCTGTCAGCTCATTTTCACTTTTAAGTGGGTTCGTGATCCGAAGCCTTGACATCCCTTGCTGACAAATGGGAATGCGGTGTGTGTTCAATCTCTTTTGCCTGAAGAGGAAAAGGCATAACTGCAATTTCTTATTTGAGCTGGCATGTTGAATGAGCTTCGCAACCTCTCTTGCCCCCTAAGATCCTTACAGAAACGTGAGTGTCTCCTAAAAATACCTGACGGGAATGAGAGGACAGACTTAGCCCTTTCATTTTTGAAGAAAATCTGTTTTTCTTTGCAGGACTAATGGTATTTGAAATATCCTTTAAAGGGGGGGAATCCTTGTCTTGTGTAGGAATCTCCCAACCACACCTATTTGCAATGCTATGTATGTACATGTATGTTTGTACATCCCCTGATCGCATACTACCACCCCCTTTCTATCGACACAGCAGCCACACAAATCACTTTTAAATAATTATACCTTACTTCTGAGCTTCCTTATTGTCCTGCCACAGACATCTGAGAAGTTTACAAGCTGGCGTCTTTGTCTTTTTCATATCATGTCACCAGTGAGCAGAACATTTCCCCAGAGCAGGAAACGGTAAACTGGCAGTGACTAACAGCAAATCCAGACCAGCCTTACAAATTGTTTTGCCAGACTGGACTGTAGTGTACATATACTGACTGCTTGAAGTGTTTACAATGGGTCAAATAATACACATTTCCTTGTCTAGTTTGGTATCAAAACAAAAATCTGAAATGGATCACTTCTGGACGTTTGCACCTTAGCCTGTGGGTTATTCCTGCAGATCACATTAAACCGATTTTTATGAAAAAGTTGTAAAAGATGGAACATTTTCTGGCCTTGTGGTGGAATTTTTTCTCAGCTCAGTGAGAAGAACAAAGAAGAGGAACTATAGGCAAATTCAGACAGTTCTCCAGAGTTCTGGACGCTGCAAAGGGGAAAATACAAAGATGCTGCACGCATAAGTTGCAGTGGAATAAACACTGTATAAACAGGTAAAACCAGTCCTATCAGTCAAAGCTTGACTCATAATTTCATATGAGTTTGACGTGGTAACCAGCCTCAGCACAATGAAGGGGTAGGATGGTATTCATTTGAAAGTCAAACATTTCAGCTAGCAACCTCATTTGACATAGTCTATATAAATCAAACATGGAGCTGCAGCGGCGTCACAATCTTACTCATACCTGCCTATACAGTGTGTCTAATTTTCAGTCATATCCACTCCCCAGATGTGGTAAATACAAGCCTCTGCGGAGTCTTTTTGTCTCTGCAATGCCTTACACCAGAAATCTTCCTTCCTGCTCTGACTCTAGCTATGATAGATTTTCAATTTTAAGAAAAGTCATCTTGTTAAAATATATGGCAAAGGATGAGATCATTGTTTTCTTACGCCATTAATAGGTCAGTTTGGTCCAATTACTCAGTTTTGGAGTTGGCTGTTTCACACGGCTGTGATACATCAGTGCCTGTGGCTTGTTAGATCTGTGGCCCATCTTGATAAAACAATTAGCTCGTAAGAAAGACGAGTTCTCGGATGTCTCGGTCGCTGATGCTGGACAAAGCCTGGTCGTCAAATGCTGATCTCATGTCCCCGAAGACACTTTGATTGTCATAATTGCCCCACTTAGAAACACATTAGTCCCATCTGCAGCCGATTGGCGCCAATAAAAGTGCCAAGGTGCATTTTGCAGCTTGTTCAGATGGTCATGGATGACTAATCTACGCAGATATTTAATACCTACCTCTGGCCCCTGCTGTCTTGTACGTAAATACACAGATACTGATAGAGGAAGGGGCGCCATTGTTTTCTTAGGTGAGCAACGGAAACCCATGACTGAGTATACCTCTTCTCTGACAGGACAAATGCTGCTGTTTTCCAGCAAATAGAAGAGAGCAACAAGCAACGGAGGATATAGAGGAATCCCAGAGGACTCTCCCGAGCAGAAGGAAAAGCCATTCTTAAACTGAGACATAAAAGTGCAGATGAGCCGCAAAGACAGGCCCAGCATATCTGGCCCTCACAGACCAACCCTGATGATGTGCCCATGCATGCTCCTGTGTATGGAGATAAGGGCTAGTCAAAAATGTGTGTCCCAAAACAAATGCAGAAAATCTGTTCACACCATGAAATAATCCCACATCACAGCACGAAAGTTCTGAAAGTTAATTTAAAGTATTAATGGGATTATGCACCTGATGTTTTACTGTAAGTCAAATGCCACCTGAAGAGCTACCAGCAGCGTAAAAATAGTCTCAGAGGATCTTTAACCTGTTTGAGGCAATCCATGAAAGTGTGCTGCTCTGCCAAGAATGAATCCCCCAGTCTGTCAGAGCCATTCCTGAGCTATTATGTATATTCTGATGCGTGCATCATGCACTCGAGTCCAGTGTACAGTCATCCAAGCTCTCGTTGTCACTCAAAGATTGCATTATTCGAAGCGCCACAATAAAATGGATGTTTTCAAGAAATAATTGGGTCAGTGGCAAAGGCGCTGCTAAGCTGTTGGTAATGTAATTACAGCAGCATGGCACTCGTGTCCTCCTCTCCCTCCCATGCCAGAGGGAGACAATCCAAAGAATGCCACAGCCTATAGAAGATGAAGTAGAGATCTGTCAAATTGGGGGGTAAGGGGCGTCTGTGGTTAATACTTTTGAATGAGGTCATCAGACAGGGGGTGCCTTCTTGTCAGATCGCTTGGATCTTTACCACTGTGACAAGATTACAGCAAAAGAAGATCACAGAAGAGAATGAATGAATCCTCTGTGCTGGAAAAAAGCGGATACCAACTTTAATGTCTCACTTGGACCTTTTTTCTATACATTCGCTAAATACAGCCTGTTCTGTCTCAATCGCTTTTTCACTGTGACTCACACATACCATAAACACACACACTTGCAACACTTGTGTGGTTTCACTTTCCCTCAAATCATATGACACATGCTTGTGTAGAAATCGAGACAAAGTCTAACCTTCCATTGTTGTCCAGACACCCACTTCACTTCCAGGGCGTACACACACTCCCAACAGCACCATCACATGGCACTAAATAATCCAGTTTACATAACGCTGCTGCTTCTTGATTTCTAGTACTGTCCACGGGAACCATTGTTTATTTGCCAGTGCACAACCTGAGGCCCTTACCTACAGAACATTATTACCATGCTGTGCCTTTCGGCTCAGCTCCACCCATGTGATCGTCTGTCTCTGCACTACTCTGAACACACCCCATAAATACCTGCCCTGCACAGACAGCAGAGGAGCATAACAAACAGTGGGAAAGGCACCTACTGTGTTGTTGCAGGGAAACAACCTGCTTTAGGGAGTCCCAGAGAGGCCCTGTCTTGTCTTTTCCCTCTTAAGTGAGCATCAGGAGGCCTGGGGACAGCTAGAGAGTGCTCGGGACGTAATAGGGACATATTCCAAAGATCAGGGCGGGATTAGCACTAATGCCTGCCGGCTTTATCTGTAGTCACGTGGGTTAACACCTGGCTGTAGAGTTGGTGGTGAAGCTCGAGCCCTGCTGCATGTGTGTGTGTGCGTATGTGTTAATCCATCAGACACCTCTAACTCAGGGGTTAGGCCAGCATGCATGCAGGGCCCACTGAGAGAACTCCAGCCAGCACTTCCCCTGCTTGTTCTACTGCAACTTTGTGAAGGTTTCCATCTGCTCAACAGACAAAAACGGACCTGCACAATTAGTCATATCAGTTGTTTCCACACCAGGGTGGGCGAGAGGGCTGCGAAATAAAGTGGATGTTCTGAGCCAGGATTGGCTCTTCTAAATCCAGCCTTGGTTCTAATGCAACTGAAAAAGGCTTAGGTTAGACTGCGCTGTAATTTTGTCGCATAATTAAAACAAGCCCGCTCCTTGTTAGCGAGAAAGCTGTAGTTCATTATTGTGTGGGAAAAAAGGGAAAAGCATGAAAGTGAGCGCCAGAAAGATCGTGTTAATTTTAACTGGCATCCTATAAATACTAACTAAGCCTGCATCCGTTTAATCTCCTGGATGTAGGTGAGTGCTTGTAAAGATTCTGTTTTATTTTGGGAGCCCTTACTATCACATCCGGCGGATTGATCCGGATTAATCCAGTGACCCAACAGCCCCGCATGACATGTCCCAACTCCAACCTGTTGCTGTTACGGAGGCGTTAATGAGATCTGAGGTGCGGATACACATATAGATGCGCATTTGACCCCTGTCCCAATTTATCTGGCCTTTTCTATTCAGGGAAGAGTTGAGTCAAGGTGTAGTTCTGACATGCATTTCTCTGACACACACAAAGAGGCTGCATGAGTCTTTTCCAGGCAGTCATCACCTTGCTTCGTCATTTTTGAGTGAACTGGGACTAAGATTGATGTTGTCTCAGCTACTTTCTAAAGAAGACTCTCTGAGCTTCTATTCTGGCTTCTGACTGCTAATCTGTCCATGCCAGATCCTCTTTTTACACAACCGCAGTGTCTCTAAACCGATGTTAAACATGTTGATGTTGCTGCTACAAAAGGATGACGGCCATCTGGCACACGCTGAATACCACTTCTAAATATGACCCACGCGAGCAAGCACAAGCAAGTACAAACATCTCAAATATGATGACATTTTACATCTTTATAAGCTCATGCTCTCTTTGAAAGACTAGCATGTTAATCATTTTCCTGCACAAAGTATATTTCAGCAGGAATAGTACAGAAAACACAGAGGAGATGAGGAGGAGTGGTACATCACTTCAGCTTCCACTTCAGTTTCCTCCACTTCGGACTGGCTTTTGCAGGTTATGAAAGTTGGACGGCTCAATTGACTTTAGGCTTAACCTCTATCCAGCCTCTGGGGGCTCTGCTAGATACTGTATAATCTCCACATATGATATGGGCTTAAAGGGCAGGGATCATCACTTTAGTACGCCCATAGTCAGAACCATTAAGATTGCCTCTCTCGGAGCACCTCCTTCAAATATTTGAAGGACAATTTAAACTTTTTTCTTCTTGAGCCTTTAATAATTTCAGCAATTTAAGGCTTATCTCTGCAGAAAATGTCAACCTCCAAACACTGCACAGAGTAATAATCATTCTATGAAATAGTAATATGATTTCCAAGTATTGCTTGAACCTTTGGGTGAGGAACAGCCATTGGATATTGGAGAGCAGTTACCCATGATAATGTGGCCAACCATGATGTTGGGTAAGTGACAGGAAAAGAAATATTCTCCTCTGGCTAAACAAACTGGTCTACATGATGACAGGTTCTTCAAATTCTTCCAAGAAAACCAAAGAATTTTATTTCTTGATGCTTTTCCAACATTGTTACATGCTCCATGTAATCTAACCACTCTACAAACATTTCGTGACAGGCCGCGCTGCACTATTGACATGTGGTTCCAGCAAAGGCCGCTTGTTGATACAGCTAATCCAACGTGTGTTTTCTGCCACTCAAGCACTTGGTGAAGCATCCCTGTCAGCGGCACCTAACGCCTTCCCCATAAGCTGCCGGCTTAAACTAACAAAAGAAGATGTGGTGTCCTTACCGTTCGGCCGGCTAATCCAGACTTAGCTGCGTGGCGTCGTCTTCAGCTGACCTCCACAGGCAAAGTGCTGGCTGGGTAAGTCCATCATCATCACAGGAGAGGAGTGAGGGCAGGACTCCTGCTTGTTCCCCTGAAAACCATCACAACTCCCTGTGCCTGCAAGTTGGGGAGGTGTCCTGACTTGATTCAGGTCCAGGCTGTATTATTCTTTTATCATATTTGCACTTCCATAGAGCTCTTTTAGGTTGCAAAGATCAGAATCAGCATTCCTCTGAATGTTACAGTGTGCTTCATGGCACCCAGATTGATCCATTCAACAAAAGGAGACTTATGTGTTTATCAAAGCCTCTGACTTTGGCATCTGGTTCACTTTAGAAAACTTCTGTCATCATGCTTCTCCATACGAAACTCCTGATCTCCCTTTTGCACGATCCTGAACCTGAAACAGAGCAAAACATAGGAGTTGAGCCATGCAATAAACAGTTCATACAGATGTCTTAACTTTTATTCCATCTGTTGTGCAACTCCTTCCACTTCTGATCATTTTATCTCTGCACTTCAGCACGGTTTGGAAAGATAACGCTCATCTCCTTACCCCCTTTTCCAGCAGCAGGTCTTCTCTTCAGCTCCAAGGAGGGAAACTCTGTGGGTTGAGAAGATGGGTTAGGGTGAGAGGAGGGAGAGTGTAGTTACCGTAAGCGGAGCAAAGAGCCCATCTGATGCCTCTGCCTGCCTCCCCCCTCAACTGTTGCTCCTCCTCCTCCATAGTTGTGCTTGTGGGCCGAGTCGGATTACTCCTGACATGATAATCTCCCAGGCTCTAGCTCCAGGAGCACTAAAGGATGCTTTGGCCTGAGCAAGGGCTTACATTTACCTTCTGCCGCAAGAGAGTCTGCCATCTTAAGTGGGTGACTGGTAATAGCCTCAATTGGGCCGATCAGTGGGGTCTGCTGAAGCAAGTGTTTTTCAATCTTTTAGGTGGAATTAAGACAGTTTACAATTGGTTTAAATGGTGCTAAGACCCCAGTTAAATGGACTTATCACAGCGGAGGTTTTTCATGAGGATTCAATCTAAAGTTGGCTTGAGATAAAACCAGGGTGTTGTTGTTGCAAGTCTCACGTTCACGTCACCTCCAATACAAACCAGTATTCTAGCTCTTGAGCCTTGGGCGGCAAATGAGGAGCAGATGGCTGTGCTTTTGCAAGGTATCAGGCACTCCAGACTGCAATCTAAATAAATACCCCATCCATGGAGGAAATGCGTCAGGTGTGTAGGGTCAGTCATATGTAAACAAAGACTAGTTTGGAGACTTGGAAAGTGATGCATGAGAGAAAAAGACCATGGAGATACACAAAGTCTCGCAGGTGATGTTTTGAAAGCACAAGCCAGACAAATAAATTTGCAGGAACGAGGTTGATTCAAACTAAATTTGTGGTTCCTGAAAGTGTGTCTGCGGCTGCAGATGTTGAAATGAAGCAGCTATCTGCGTTGGGGTAAAAGAGTCAGTCACAGCAGGAAACAAATTATTTGCTAACAAATATCTCATTCTTACACCATGAGTCATTCTCATATCCCGAGCCAGATTATACACAAATCACGCTTTGCAAAATTCCACTCAAAAAGCAGACGTGGATAAGCACTTACTTCAGGACTTCAAATTCTTTGAGTGTTGAATGGAGGAAAAGGGGAAAAACCAATGAAATCCCAAACCCACCACTTTGTTTGAGACCAAATTTGTGTATTGATGAATCTCCCAAGGTTGATTGCTCAGTGACCTCAAGCATTGACTACATGTGAGGTTTGAAGCGAAGCCAACACAAACTCTCCCTCTCAGTCTCGACTCCTCAGCTCTGACCCTAAAGGATAACTCGGTGCCACAAATCAAGAGAGGATTCTTACTCTTCATCATGGTGGGGATATTTCTGTGACAGCGCACAGATGCAGAATCATCCTCTCCACGAAATAAAAAAAAAAAAGAAAACATAAAAATTATCACAGAAAACCTGTCAGGGCAGCCTTTGTGAATACATAATGACTTCCAGTTAGCAGGGGGTTTCGTGATCGGCCATCCTTGAAAGGAACTATCGGCTTAGAAACATTTCCTGACATCGGGCAGGAACATTTCTACTCTATAGCCTCCATATTGTTCACAGATGTGCAAAGTTTTCGTAGACCTGCCTCCGCTGCTATAAAAGCCCAACAGCTGCTAATTGCTAAATCAAGTCAAAGACAATAACAGAGAAACACTTGATCTGTATACAATGCTGAGTCTCACTCAACGGCAAAGATTACATTAGTCATGAAGACAGTCTGACACTCAGAATATACAAGAGGAAAAAGAAACACAACAAGGAATGTTTCCTATTTGAATCTGATAGAATCTCATGCACTTCAGATCGAGTCTTTCCACTGGGTGTGGATGAGTGAAGAAACACATTTTGTTTAAGTTCGGGCAAGATTTTAAGGAAGCCCTCAATCAGTAACACTATAAACATACCATTCCAGTCGAGGTGTCATTAGAAAGGCTGGAGCTAAGGCACAACTGTTGCCTTTACCCACGTCTTGCACAAGATGTGGTTTGATGATTGGACAAGTACCCGTCAGCCAAATGTCATCTCAGGCAGTGGAAAACTACTTTTAAGGGAACCAAAATCTAAACAGGCATTTGTGAAAAAGATGCAGTCGGACAATGAGGGCTTTTTTTTTTCTAAATGGGTTTTGTGTTGAAAGAAAACATCTCTTTCTTGGAGAAAGTGGTAACAAGGTACATCCGTCCTGGCCCGAGAACAAATATACACGGCAATTTGCAGTTGTGACCAGACGTGCTGAGGCCCTCGGGGTTGTAGAAGCCATTAGTGTGTCAGACAGGAGCACGTGTGATACTCTGAGACTCTTTTAATCCTCGGGTGCCAAAGTTTGTGTTATAATTGGGAACACTAGCTAGTTTGTGTGGTAGTTTATTGAAATTCAATACAGTGTATTTACTTGATCTGCCACTACAGCTCTACAAATAGGAAGTGTTTAAAATAACCTAAGTGGGAACATGGCTAAATGCTGCCCTCATCTGTCTTTGGTGTAAAACTACAAGTCAGCCAGAGGACACAGAGGTGCACAAACTTTATAATTTAATTAAAGGTTTTATTTTTCCTTATCGGCCATTCATTATTGAAAAGTCTCTGCTAAAATAACACTCAGCACAGTTGGCATTACTTCATCCTAAGGACAGTTTGATCTGTTCCTACTGCAGTTGCCTCTCTCTGCCCCGAAAACCCTTTGTCCCATCAGGGCCATACGGCTGACGCAGCACTCTCTGCATGAAACCTCGCTCATTCAGGTCTCCAGCCTCCTTGAGGTTTAATGCACTGGCTAAGAATTTGCGCCTCAGCACCCAGGGGCCGTGAGAATGATTCCTATCCCAGTCTCCTGAGCCACAGTTCATCCTACTGTAATTCTGTTTGAAACCGAGGAGGGACTGGCTGTCACACCTGGTGGAGATCTGCTCCAAGTTTCTTTGAGTGCAGTTGTTCTGGCTCTCCTGGGGTTGAGTTGCATTTGAAACTTCACCAGCAACTTGGACTGTTAAAGAGGATTCCTTCTGGACTGGATGCTGTGAGGTTTCATGTGGATTTTCTTCTTCAGGTGGGTCCTGGTTGTGTTCCTCCTTGGTGATTTGGTGCGTTGAGTGGAATCCCAAAGGTACCACATTCATGCCCTCGCCACCGCTCTTCTCCTCCTCTGCTTTAAGCACACTGTACGCCGCACGTACAGCCTCCAAATGTTCAAACTTCACCACTGCACACAAGTGTTTGCCGAGCTCTTTGTGACGCTTGGCATATTTCTGCAGCTGCTTGGGGAGCTCTTCGCCGGGATGCAGGATCCACACTGAAGTAATGTTACCGTAAGCGCTGAACTTTTGGAAGATCCTGTCTGAGAGTGATGGGGGCTCGAGGCCTAGGGCAACTCCGTCTTCTTCTTCATTTTCCTCCTCAGAAATGTTCCAGGCGAGGAGGAGCCTGCTGGTTGGGGAACACAGCAGCCATTCGGGAAGCGGCTCTCTCCGCCTCACTTTGGTGCACTCGTCGTTCACCTCCAGAAGCTCTGAGTACTCTGCTCCTGCTAGAGTCATGTACCAGTCCGTGGTCAGGGCCTTTGTCTGTGACAAACAGTGGTAACATTATCATTGTTGGCATTTTTACGAGGTTTGATAGAATTTATGGAATGTGAACAAAACAGAAACACACAAAATCTTACCTTTTTCAAACAAGTGAGGAGCTTGAGGCTGACATAGCCCTCCTTTTTCTTTAGCACATGCTTCAGCAGGAAGCCGTCCTGTGCCAGGTTGCCGTCGGAGAACAAATCCTCCAACTGGGCTTTAATCTTCAGACAAAGCAACTCACCTCTACGGTCCTCTTCTTCTTCTTGTTGGGAAGATTGTGGAAAATCTCTGCAAGAACACATTTCTCAGCATCATGATATTGAGCATATAAACTGTAGATCAGATGTGCCCTCTAATTTCCTTACCCGGCTGGATTACTCATAGTTTCGCTCAAATCTCTAAACCAGGCTGTTGCTTGAGTTCTTGTTTGTAAAGACAGGTATTAATGTACAGCTGCAGGCTAGATAGTCCCTGAATTAAAAACAAAATGCACGTGGTAACGGTTTGCATGGCAACGATGATGACAATGATGTCGGCTGGTTCTGTTGGATCCAAAAGTAAACTTTTTAAAATGCTACAAGAACAATTCTAGATCACACGACAACAGCAGCACAAATCAATATAACTAATTAGGCAGGGACTTATACAATATACAGCAGCACTCAAGTATAAAACAGCATCAGTAAATCCACACTGACATACCATTAAAGTACTTCTGTCTATTGCATGCTACAGCTGCTCCATTTATTATCTCCAAATGCTGGAAACAGTAGATCTAACTGTAACATATGGAAGAATATGAAGTCTGTTTATGTCTTCTCCATATGTCACGATGATTACACATAAGATAAACATACAAACCAAGACCTTTGGGTGCTTTTCCTCTAATGCAGACAGACCTTTTTTTTTCCATTTTCTCTCATGTGGCATCAACTGGCAGTAATTTTCGCATGGTGTGTGGGCTAATAATGAGAAGAGGGGACTGGAGAGGATGAGGCCCCACTCACACACAACGGTCTCTGGTGGAAACATGAACCAAAAACTCAAATTCTCTTAAATAATTTAAACTAAATACGTACGTTTAAGTAAAAATAAGCTAAAGCTGCGATTAAATATACTTCTAATTGCCAAAAACTGATGTCTGCCTGTGTGATTGACAGTAGTGTCTCCATGACAACACAAGTAAACAACCCAACTGTTTAGGAATGTGTGTCCTCAAATCCTGCCTTATTTACTACAAATTGAAACCCAAATCACATTAAGAATAAATATGAGTAGCCAGCAAAATGTTGACTTGTGAATCATCATCAGTTTGACAGGTGTGCAGTTTCCTGATAATGATTTTTCCATGCATGAAATGAAATATATCGCAGTGTCAGATTGTTGGCAAAGAGTAGTGTACAGGTGATGGATAATGCTTTTCCTTCACAGTGCGGAAACGTGGATTAATTTCACGCTAATTCAGAAAATCAAATGAAATGGCAGACTTGAGAAAGACCCGGAACAACTAAAGAGTGATTTTGGACAGTCTCTGTTTGTTTCCCACAGACGGTGAGGGGGTGATTCGATCAGAATTGATTCACAGTGCTGTCTCTGTTGCTATATAACAAACTACCCAACCAAAAAAACAGTCAATCATTGTTTTTTTCTCAACCGTAAAACCCCACCATCTGCATCTGAAGGCCGGATGTGTCACAGTGGCGTGATGGAGTTGTCCCAGTTTGAGATACAGCTGGAAATGAGACCTTCTTCTGTCATTACAGTATTGTAACGGTCCGGCTCACGAGAAAGCACCCCTGTTTGCTTTCATAGATAAAAAAGAAAAACAAAGACACAAAGAATTCAAAAACATCTCAATCCCATGACTATCAGGTGTGCCCTTGTAGAAGTAACGCACGAGCCCGGCCCACTTTATATCCGGCAGAAGAGTGTGGACCAAAAACAGTAAAAACCACAAAATCGTGACGTTTCAACCTAATTAAAAATAAAAGGTGAGATGAGCTGGGGCTGAGAGTTGGTGGAGTATCTCTTTGTCAGGACTAATTCTGTATTATACGACCAAATATGTAACATGGAAAGCTTACTACTAAAAAAAAGGAGGGTTGGATTTGTTTTTAAGTCGTAGCTAAAACCCTGCAACCAATCAAACTTTTTGAGAATGTAAGGTTACATTGTTGGAACAGAAACTCAAAACCGCCTGAAGACAAAGCACACAGGATTGTGAACTCATCTGAAGTGGTCAGAGATCGGGAAATATTTTTAGGCAAAAATAACTGGCAACATTTCCAGCAGCAATAAATAAAGCACACATAGTTTCTTTGTATTCCTGCGGGTCCCAAAACTACACTAAGAAGATTTAACAGTGGGGAATGAGGGCATCACATCTTGTTAAACACAACAGGTTAAAAAACAAAACAAAAACACAAAGCATCACAAGCAGAATTTGTACAAAAACCCAATTATTTAACTTTATTAACATCAATGTTTTTCTTTTCATCAACAGTTTGTTTTTAAATTGCAGTTCTTTATAACAAATAGAAAACAGACTGTGTGTACAACAGATCGAACCCCTACAGCACTAAGCATTCACAAGGTAAAAATGAACATTTTAGTTTTTCGCCAGCGTTTTTCAAGTCCCCCCTCCCTCCCACGACCGCCTCCACCGCCACCGCCACCACACCAGTTCGGCCTCTGGGATCAGGCGCTCCCCCCCCTCCTGCGGCTTTTGTGGGAGAAGATGTGTGCTTGAGTGGTGCGATGGCCCCCGCGCTGAGTGAGGAGTCGTCCATTTTGATGAGTGGGTTGGGGTGGGGGGTTGTGCTGTTTTTCCTCGTTCAGACGGACTCTCGAAGTTACTATGGTAGTACAGTAGATACAACGGTGTTTCCATTAATACACACTCGAGGACAGCAGGCTCTCTGCCGTCTCTAGGGTCGGTAGATCAGCAGATTGAATCCTTTTAACAATATACCTTTGAAGCTGTGTATATATCTATGTGTAATTGTACATATATATAATCAATCATAATTATATATATATTTATATATATATTTATAGTTCTATTTCTGTATAAAATAATATCAGGTTTCAGTCCAAAGGGCTGAGTCTCTCTCCCTCTGGTAGGAATGGTTGATTCTGTACAGGTGCCTTTAATGGCTCTACTCCTCAGCCCATATGAACCACTTCCTCTCTGTGTGGTTCAGCTCCAGGAAAGCGACCAGGCTAATGGGCAGCGAGGAGATGGGAGGGACTTGAAGAGCAACAATATTCAGAGATCAGGGAGTTGATTTTCTGTCATTTACCCTTTGGGTATAAAAGTCTGTTTTCCTCAGGTAAGTTCTCCGCTGTGGAGTATGAAGGCCTCAATGCCATAGGCTTCTGATGAAACAAAAACACGTAGAAATCATGTGCTTTCCATTTCTGTACATCTCTGATTTACTCTCTCGTTAGCTAACCCACGTTTTGTGTTATAACTAGCTACCTTGCTTGCAGAAGAACAAACTTTAGCAAGTGTGTGTGTGCTCTGAAATCAATTTTTCAAGGTTGATTTTTTTTTCTCGCGATGACAGGTAAAAAGGCAAGATCTTGAGTTATTGAACTGAATAAGACCGAAAACAAAGTTTATGACATATAATATGGATAACACGAGAACATAATGTGAAAGCAGCTCAGAGAACAGTGGTCCTCCTGTATTAGTATCTAGGAACGTGTTTAAAATACATGTCCCTTGTGCTAAAGTACCCTAAAATAAAAAAATAAAAAGTACCGATTATGAAAATAATGCACGCCCTAGGCTGGGCAGTTTAAGACAAAAGAAATGTCTGATGTTAAAATGATTATTAAAAAGAACAAATACACTAAACAATAACATAATGAATCAGAATATTGACAATAAAATTAACATAAAAACAAAGAGAGTGCTCTCTTAGTGCTACCAGTAGCCTTTGACAATCAGGGAGGTTTGGCTTCGACGGAGCAGAGAGGCGAGCTGCCGCTCTGCGCTGTCGCATCTGTACAAGAGTTGTCATGTTTGTCAGAGTCATTGTAAAGTTTCTGTTATTATTTTTAAAGCAAAAATCTCATGTGGTTGGTTAAATCAGTGTAGATCTCTGTGATTGGTTGAACCCGTCGCCGGGTCTGCAAGCGCATCCCTTTCCCCTCCCCTCTGTTGGCTGCGAGGGGTCGGTTTAAGGGGGTCAAGTGAGTGGATGGTGGCTGAGATGGGACACTTGGCACACTCCTGAGAGGTTTGACCAGGGAGGCTGCTTGGTAGGAGTGGTTATGTTGCATAGTGGTCAAAGCTCCCCAGGTACTCCATTGCTGCCCTGTAGCACAGCTGGTACTGGTCCTGGAGGAGAGGGGAAAGAGGGCTCAGTCAGAAAGACCTCTGGAAAAATTACACAGCTGAAGTTTTGCTCTGTTGCATAAAAAGTCATAAAAAGTCATAAAAAGTTTTGGAGGATGTCTCATTCTGTGAAGCTGATACACCTTCAGTATTAACTTTGATTTAGCGATTTTAGGCTAAATAAGGTAAAAACACTCAACTTGTTTTGATTATGACAGGTACAACTTTTCCACAAAAAAATGATAAATTTAAGGAAACTAAATGGAAACACTGACGGATGAGGTTCCTATAATCAAACTTCAGAGTGTCTCTTTGCTACAGATGTTTTAGTTAAAGTTCGTATTTTGGGTCACAGTCACTTCTGTCACTAAATCTCAGCTTTCCTTTCTCTTTTGAGTTTAAACCTTTGAGAGATTTAAATTCACAGGCTGCCTGTCTTCTCTAATAGAGATATTTATCAGCTTTCGATGTGATGAGTTTGCTTTAAGCTCTCTGAAGCACCTCTAAAACCTCAGCTCAGGTAAAAATTGCCAGTTATTCAAACAGTCTGTTACTTTATTTTATACCTTAATAACATACAGTATTGACTTTGGAGGGCCGCCCTGTCACAGTGAGGTATCTTCCCATCTGCGCTCTGTTCTTACCTCGGTCTGCACCATGGCTGGCCGCTGGGTGCGAAGTGTCTTCACTGTCTGGAAGAGGTCGACCACTCCTTCGTACCTCATCCTCTCCAGCACGATGCTGAGAGTGATGAAGACTCCAGTCCTGCCCACCCCGGCGCTGAGGAGCAAAGACACAAACAAAACTATTTATCAGATGTCCTGGCTGAGGCTGCAGACCTTCTCTTACTTGCTTAAAACAAGGTTATAAGGATTAGTTTACAAGTTGTATTAGGATTTATCCTTCAGGTGTTTCTCTGACACCTTGTTCGGGTTGGATTTGAGCATGTTAAACATCTTTAAAAAGTTTAAAATGCTGCTTCTTAAAGGTATGGTGCCTCTCTCCTCTCTACCTGCAGTGTACAGTGATTGGTCCGT